TCTGTATATATATATATATATATATATATATATATATATATATATATATATATATATATATATATATATATATATATATATATATATATATATATATATATATATATATATATATATATATATATATATATATATATATATATATATATATATATATATATATATATATATATATATACAGTGTTCCCCCAGTTATTCGCGTTTCTTGGTTCGCTTTCTCACTGTATCGAGGTTTTTTTTGGATAAATTATTATTTTATTTTATGTGGATATGCAAAAATATTAAAATATTAAAAAAAAAAATTTCTCAGTATTTTAATTTTTTTTATTAAAAAAACATATTTCATTATCTAATTGATAAAAAAAATTGATTTCCCAGCCTACGAAAAATAAAACAGTAAAAAATATTAAAAAACATAAATTTAGATAGATAGATAGATAGCTAGCTAGATACGTTTATTGACCACCTCTTTTGAAATGTATAATCTTTACAAAGGAATGTTTGATCCAAATTACAATGAATAAATACAATAGTTTTTGTACAATCATCAAATAAGTAAATGAATTTTAAATTAATATACATTGTACTAATAACTGAATGATATACGTACGTACAGTATAACTCACAGTATTGCATCATGCGAAATAGTGTTCGATAGCGTACAATGTATTGGGGTCGCAGCTACGTGAGCTAGCATATATATTTATATTTCCAGTAGTTTCATGATTTTATTGATAAAAAAAACGTATTTCTTAGCCTAAGAATAATAAAACAGTAAAAAAATAGTAAACAGTATTGCACCACGTAAGATACGATACCGGTATCAGTGTTTCGGAAAACGCAAAGGCTCTCACCTACGTGACCTAGTGAATATTAAAATTTTCATTATTTTATTGATAAAACAAGTATTTCCTAGCCTAAGAATAATAAAACAGTAAAAAATAGTAAAAAACATAAATTTAGATATACGTACGTACAGTATAACTCACAGTATTGCATCATGCAATATATGTAGTGTCCGATAGCTATGTGAGCTAGCATATACATAAATTTAGATATACGTACGTACGGACAGTATAACTCACAGTATTGCATCATGCGAAATAGTGTCCAATAGCTACGTGAGCTAGCATATATATTTATATTTCCAGTAAGTTCATGATTTTATTGATAAAAAAAACGTATTTCTTAGCCTAAGAATAATAAAACAGTAAAAAATAGTAAACAGTATTGCACCATGTAAAATACGATACCGGTATTAGTGTTTCGGAAAACGCAAAGGCTCTCACCTACGTGACCTAGTGAATATTAAAATTTTCATTATTTTATTGATAAAAGAAGTATTTCCTAGCCTAAGAATAATAAAACAGTAAATAATAGTAAAAAACATAAATTTAGATATACGTACGTACAGTAACTCACAGTATTGTATCATGCGATATATGTAGTGTCCGATAGCTACGTGAGCTATCATATATATTTATATTTCCAGAAGCTGTCACCTACGTGAGATAGTTCATGTTTTTATAACAGTGCAGGGAGGGTTTATACAGTACGTAAACTTAAAAATAATTGTAAATGTGTATGTCATGTAATTACCACTTCATTCACCGTAATTTTATCAAATCACTTTCATATAAATTTATGTTGCATGCGGTTATTTATGAAGTAAAGGGTGGTTTGTTAATAGTACAGGGAGGGTTTATACAGTGTAAACGTAAAAATATATTAAAATATCTATGTACATATAGGCTGATCCTACTCCGCGGATTTCCTGGTTCGCGCCGGGTCCCGGAACCGAACTACCGCAATAAGGGGGTGAACACTATATATATATATATATATATATTATATATATATATATATATATATTATATATATATATATATATATATATATATACACACACACAGTGTTCCCCCCCTTATCGCGGTAGTTCGGTTCCGGGACCCGGCACGAACCAGGAAAACCGCGGAGTACGATCAGCCTATATGTACATAGATATTTTAATTTATTTTTACGTTTACACTGTATAAACCCTCCCTGTACTGTTAACAAACTACCCTTTACTTCATAAATAACAGCATGCAACATAAATTTATATGAAAGTGATAGATAAAATTACGGTGAATGAAGTGGTAATTACATGACATACTCATTTACAATTATTTTTAAGTTTACATACTGTATAAACCCTCCCTGCACTTAAAAAAACACCCTTTTCATTATAAATAACACCAAGCAACGTAAATATTTATGAAAGTGATAGGAAAACTTACCGTGAATGAGGTGATGATGACGTGACATACATAGGTACAGTATTTTACAATTATATTTACGTTTACGTAACATAGCGGCCGACATCCACAAACTTTTTTCCTTCTTTCAACATATCTAAGAGTTTCACTTTATCTACAATGGTTAACATTTTCCTTTGCCGCTTAGGCTCACTACAAGAAGCCTTAGAAGATGAAGGATGCTTGGGAGGCATTGCAAAGGTTAAAATATGCGAGTAAAAAAATCACAAGCAAAACGTATTAATAATACTAAGCACAACGTGAACGGCGCACACGAGAGTTAGACTGAGCGAGTGAGGCGGCACATTGGAAATTGGAGGGAAAGGCAAACTGCAATGAAAAAGCCAATCAGACCCCATGATACAGAACATATTGAAAAACAATTCTGTGATTTGCCGTTTCCCGACCTTTCAGCCAATAGCATTCCATGAACTATCTCACGTAGGTGAGAGCTACTGGAAATATTAATATATATTCTAGCTCACGTAGCTATCAGACACTACATATTTTGCATGATGCAATACTGTGAGTTATACTGTACTTACGTATATCTAAATTTATGTTTTTTACTATTTTTTACTGTTTTATTATTCTTAGGCTAGGAAATACTTGTTTTATCAATAAAATAATGAAAATTTTGATATTCACTAGGTCACGTAGGTGAGAGCCTTTGCGTTTTCCGAAACACTGATACCGGTATTGTATTTTACATGGTGCAATACTGTTTACTATTTTTTACTGTTTTATTATTCTTAGGCTAAGAAATACGTTTTTTTATCAATAAAATCATAAAACTACTGGAAATATAAATATATATGCTAGCTCACGTAGCTATCGGACACTATTTCACATGATGCAATACTGTGAGTTATACTGTACGTACGTAGGTGTATCTAAATTTATGTTTATGCTAGCTTACGTAGCTATCGGACACTATTTCGCATGATGCTATACTGTGAGTTATACTGTACGTACGTATATCTAAATTTATGTTTTTTACTATTTTTTACTGTTTTATTATTCTTAGGCTAGGAAATACTTGTTTTATCAATAAAATAATGAAAATTTTAATATTCACTAGGTCACGTAGGTGAGAGCCTTTGCGTTTTCCGAAACTGATACCGGTATCGTATTTTACGTGGTGCAATACTGTTTTCAAATTTTCACTGTTTTATTATTCTTAGGCTAAGCAATACGTTTATTTTATCAATAACATCATGAAACTACTGGAAATATAAATATATATGCTAGCTCACGTTGCTGCGACCCCAATACATTGTACGCTATCGAACACTATTTCGCATGATGCAAAACTATGAGTTATGCTGTACGTACGTATATCATTCAGTTATTAGTACAATGTATATTAATTTAAAATTCATTTACTTATTCGATGATTGTACAGAATCTATTGTATTTATTCATTGTAATTTGGACCAAATATTCATTTTGTAAAGATTATGCTTTTCAAAAGAGGTGGTCAATAAACGTATCTATCTATCTAAATTTAAGTTGTTTACTATTTTTTACAGTTTTATTATTCGTAGGCTGGGAAATAAATTTTTTTTTATCAATTAGATAATGAAATATGTTTTTTTCAATAAAAAAATGAAAATACTGAGAATCTTTTTTTTTTTATATTTTAATATTTTTGCATATACCCAAAAAATAAAATAATAATTTATAAAAAAAAAAAACGCGATACAGTGAGAACGCGAACCAAGAAACGCGAATAACCGGGGGAACACTGTATATATATATATATATATATATATATATATATATATATATATATATATATATATATATATATATATATATATATATATATATATATATATATATATATATATATATATATATATATATATATATATATGAATAATTTTTACCCAGATCGGGACTTGAACCTGGGACTTATTATTACTAAGCCAAGGTGCTACCAACTACACCACAAAAGATTAAAGGGAAACGAACCTTATAGCTTATATCTGCTATAGTAGGGATGAACGCATCCTATCTAAATGCCACTATGTTCATATTACAGTTTCCCCAACCTCACTCGTGGTTTCGTTTTTGCATTTAATTCAACTCCCAATCTCATTCGGGTCCAACAATAACCAAATAAGCACATTACACATGTGAAAACTTGAATAATTTTTACCCCGATGGGGACTTGAACCTGGGGTTTATTATTACTAAGCCTAGGCGCTACCAACTACACCACAGAAGGTTAAAGGGAAACAAACCTTATAGCTTATATCTGCTATAGCAGAGATGAACGCATTCTATCTGAATGCCACTATGTTCATATTACAGTTTCCCCAACCTCACTCGTAGTTTTGTATTCGCACTTAATTCAACTCCCAATCTCATTCGGGTCCAACAATAACCAAATAAGCACATTACATATGTGAAAACATGAATAATTATTACCCCGACCAGGACTTAAACCTGGGACTTATTATTACTAAGCCTAGGCGCTACCAACTACACCACAGAAGGTTAAAGGGAAAGAAACCTTATAAATTATATCTGTTATAGTAAGAATGAACGCATTCTCTGAATGCCACAATGTTCATAGTACAATTTCCCCAGTATCACTCGTGGTTTTGTTTTTGCATTTAATTCAACTCCCAATCTCATTCGGGTCCAACAGTAACCGTATAAGCACATTACATATGTGAAAATATGAATAATTTTTACCCCAACCGGGACTTGAACCTGGGACTTATTATTGCTAAGACAAGGCGCTACCACCTACACCACAGAAGGTTAAAGGGAAACAAACCTTATAGCTTATATCTGCTATAGTAGGAATGAACGCATTCTATCTGAATGCCACTGTGTTCATATTACAGTTTCCCCAACCTCACTCGTGGTTTTGTTTTCACATTTAATTCAACTCCCAATCTCTGTTTCTCTTTATGTATTCCTTTAGTGCAGGCCTGATAAAGGCTGTTTTATTTTATTTTTTGGCCCTTTCTGGTGTCACAATCATTAACTTTTTTTTTTTTTGTGCTCTTTCCTTGCAGTATTTCACCTATCGTGGACAGTCCCGGAACCGCACCCCCACGATAAACGAGTGGTTACTATATATATATATATATATATATATATATATATATATATATATATATATATATATATATATATATATATATATATATATATATATATATATAGATAGATAGATAGATAGATAGATAGATAGATAGATAGATAGATAGATAGATAGATAGATAGATAGATAGATAGATAAATATATAAATAAATAAATTGAATAAATAGAGAGAGAGAGAGAGAGTCATAAATCACCGTTACACTGGTACAACAAGGACTTATGTGAAAAAATCACTCCAGCAAGGGTGAAAATCATAATCAAAAAGTCGCTATGGCTTGGCACTGTGATCACCGCCACCACGCACTTGGTGTCGTCCGTATATAGAGTAATAAATAATTAAATCAATTATAAATGAATAAATTGAGTAAATAGAGAGAGAGAGTTGTAAATAATTTTTGTACAAGTATAACAAGGATTTATGTGAAAAAGTCACTCCCATAAGGGTGAAAATCCCAGTCAGAAAGTAGTTATGGCTTAACATTCTGATCATCACCACCACACACCTGGTGTCCACTGTATATAGAGTGAGTGAAATTTTTTTTTGCTTTATCTGTATATCTTTAATACTCCTTTTTAATTTTTAGCTTACATACGTATATTAGCTTGGTTATGTACTTGTAAAATGTGTTTTACTTGGCTTTTTTAATTTGTTATAGTGTGTTTATGCACACTTGTGGAACGTATCGATGTATATTAACATTATTCCTTATGGAAATAGACTATTTAAATTACACATAATTTATATTACATGAGCCTTTTGAGAACCTATTTCTTGCGTTATTTCGAGAGATGAGTGTAAGTCAGTTTAAAAAAACAAAATTTGTACAATCACTCTAAATTGCATTCAAATGAAATTGTACAAAATGATTACAACAGTACGTTAGCAGTTGGTAAGTAATTAAAAACTTAATTTATGCAGTTAGACAAAGGAATATGATAAAAGAGGATAAAAATTAACTTCCATCTCCTTATAAACAAACATGCGGTTATTTTAATCAAACTATTTCCAGTGGTATTTTTCAGAACCAATGCTTGGGTTTCTTTGATATTCTCTGACCCCATCCTTAAGGCTTGTTCTCACTCACTAACATTTGGCAAGTATACTCTATAATTTCATGCTAATTCATTGTATCTTGCGAATTCCCCTTACCCTCCTAGATGACAAGGCTTCTTCTGCACAAGGTGTCTCTCACCCCAATTCTCTAATTTGTAATATAACTACCTCGGGTGAATACCTTGTACACCCTTTTCTTCACATTTCTCGCTTTGTTCATTTCTTCACGATGTCCAAGTGTGCTACAAAATCTCTGTTCCACTCTTGCCATTAAACTGTTGCAGCTTCAGTTCTCTAGACTAATTTTCTCATTCCTCACCCAGTGGAGCCATCTGCAATAACCTCATTTATCTTTCCTTTCCTCAACTGCCTTTACAGTTGAACACTCCCGACCAAGCAATTCTGTATTAATATGTAGACCATAATTCAATCCAAACTAATTGAGCTTGATATGGAGCTCTTATCCATACACTCCTCAGTGTTCCCTCTAGCTTAGCTTCTTTTCCCACTCTTTGGTCTATCTTCGTACACTGGCTACCATCTCTCTTATGTCGACTCCTAAATTTCTAAATTGTCTTCCATTTCTCTTGCATCTCATCACTCTACTCTTTTTTACATCAATTCATTTTAGTTTTCTGCTCCCACATATACTACTCAACTCCTCCATCAGCTTTTGCAGTTTCATCTTCAAATCAGCCAATAAAGGATTTTCACCATCTAATCTTTTGTTTTCTCTCAACAGGGGTCACCATAGCAAATCAGTTGTCTTCATATTGCCCTATCCCCTGTGTCCTCATTGGTTACACCACACGCCCTCATGTCCTCATTTACCACATTCATAAACCCCCTCTGTGGCCTACCTCCATACCTCTCATCCCTCCTCAACACATGCCCAAGCCATGTCTCTCCTCCCTTACCATGTCCCCAAACCGTTCAAGATGTGCTGTCCTTCTAATATTTATCTATCTATATACAATGGCCCGATTCCCCCCAAACACACCTCAATCACTCCTCTTAGCTCCTTGGGCATAAAAGGTTGCCACATTTCCCCTTCTACCATACTGCTTGGGTCACCCACATACTATTTGGGTGACCCAAGCAGTATGGTTTGCTTCATCATGTGGCAACCTCCTTCACACTAGCTCATCGCAGTTCACTGTGCTAGCAGGTGCGTGAACTCCCTTGGCTCGTGTCACCTATTGACATTCTTCCTCCACTCATTCCTATCTCTTGCACGCTCTCATCCCCACTCAACTGGCATTCCATATGTATCCAGTGCTCTTTCCACGCTATCCATCCATCTCATTCTAGTCTTCCTTTTGGCCTTACTCCAACCACTTCTGCACTCCACACTCTCGCTGCTAGTCGTTAATCGCTAATCCTTTTCACGTGTCCAAACCAACACAGTACTGTCTGATCTCACTGATCTGACAGCTCTCTTTCATCACCTATTTTCTACCTCACCTCCTCATTGCTCACACTGTTCTAGATACACCAATCATACTTTTCAGACACTTCATCTCCATTACATTCAACTTTTTCTTTTCACCCTCTCTTGCACTAGAAGTCTATGCTCCATGTTATGCTGTCAACACAATCAAACCTTCTTATATTCTTATATTTGCATTCACTCCTAAATACCTGTGAGTCTTTCTCATCAATTTTCAACTCACCTAGACATTTACTCTCTTCCTTCACTCTATGCCTTACATTCACATCCACTGGTCCATTCCCTGCCACATGTGACCCCAGATGTTTAAATCTGAACTTCCTCAAGCAACTCCCCATTCACTCCTACTTTCAATCTGCCAACATTAACACTTCTCTTGTATTTCATGACTTCATTTTTACCAATATTCACCTGCAACTTCCTTCTTTCACACAGCCCCAAACTTGTCCACTAAATGCTTCAGTTCATTTTCAGAATCAGGATAAACTGTGCCATCTGGAAATAGCAACTGATTCACGTTCCACAACCTTACAGTCTCACCCACTAATGCCAAGCCTCTGCCTAGCACTCTTTTATTTACTTCCCTTACCACTCCATTCATGTACAGAGGCTCCCCTCCTTACGAATGAGATACGTATGGAAAGATGGTTCGTATCTTAAATTGTTTGTAAGTTGATATTTTGTATGTACAGTACTGTATTGATTGTACAAACATTCCTACATCTTGTAGGTAAAATAATATGTTTGAACATGATACATTTATTTTTTTATCCTAAGGGCAAATGATATAAGTTTGCTTGTTTCTTGAAACGTTGAAACCATCCATACCTTACTGCATAATAACAGCATACTTCATGTTCATATTTCCAGATGTTCATAAGTAGAGGAGGGTCTGTACACATTAAACTTCTATGGCGAATTACACAACCTTGACTTAACCCCACATTTACGTCAAACCAGTCACTCATGCCATTCCTTACTCTAACACATGCTCTACTATTCATGTAAAAATTTTTGATTGCATTTTACAATCTTCCACTTATTCCATACAGCTGCAATACACTCTACAGTTTCTCTCTGTCAACCCTGTCATACACTTTCACTAAGTCCATAAAAGCCTGAATACAGTAGTGTCCCTACCCTTCTCTATAAACTTCTCACACATCTGTCTTACCACGAATACCTGATCCACTTATTTTCTTCCTCTCCTGAACATTTTCTTCCTCTCCTGAACCCGCACTTTTCTTCACTGATCAATCTCTCAGTACCTTTCCTATTTCTCTCAATCAAACTAAGTCCTTAAAATTTACTAAACTCATACTTATCTCCCTTCCCTTTATTAAGTGGAACTACACACTTGCACTCCTCCAATTAACTTGGCCTCTCTCTCTCCTGAGACATACATTCAACAGCCTCACCATCCATTCAGCTAATATCTCAGCACCTTTTGACAAGCATTCAACATGACACCTATCTCTCCCTGGTGCTTTAATCGCTTTCATTACTCTCAATGCCATTTGTACCTCCTCTTTTGTTATTTTCCTATTGTCTTCTCACCTAGCACATGCATTCTCCATTCATCACCTACAGCCACAATCTCTGCCTCTTTATCATCTTCCTTACTTAGCAGTTCCATGAAATACTTAGCTCATCTCACTCTCCTTTATTTCATCTAGCAAATGCCCATCTACTCCTTTTGCCTACTCTTTCCAGCCAGACTTCCCTGTCTGCACTCTTTACCCCCTCTATAGCATCTATTTATTCCTTTCAATATATTCAGATAACATTTGCTTTTCTGCTTGCTTCCCTCACCACATGCTTTGCTAACTTTCTCTTTGCATTATACCTTTCATATGCCCCTACATTACCTCTCTGCAACCATACCTCAAATGCCTGCTTCTTTTCAGCCGCTACTGCTCTCACTTCCTCATTCCACCATTCATGTACTTCTGCCCATTAGTCTCATCCCACACACTACCTCTCCACACTTCAGAACTTCCTCCTTAACACAGTTCCATTCTTCTTCTACACCCTCCTTCACTTTTTAATTCACTAGATTCCACATATTCCTCAAACTAGCCTAATGCTCACAGTCTTTCTCTTCTTTATTTATCTCACTCTTTTATAGCACTTTTCATATTCTCTCCC